GGCTGAGCCAGCCACAGCATCTGGGTACAGTGGCGCACACCTGTAATCCCAGCACTGGGAAGGCTGAAAGCAGGAAGAATTATCACATAAGCCAGAAATTCTGTTCCTAGGTATTTACTTAAATATGGGACCACGATTGAACCATGGTCCCTACTTTCAATATTCAGTGATACTGAAAGTGGGGACATGTATTTGCATAACAATAGTCAAAAGATAAAAATAACTTGTGCCCATCAGCAAGATGAATAAACAAGATATAATGTATACATACAGGCTAGGCCAATATTATGCATTCATAAAGGGGGGAGGAAGTTCTGGCAATACAACAGCGTGGATGAACCCTAAAACCACAGCAGTAAACTGAGCTTGACACAAAAAGGCAAACACTTGGCCTAGGAAGGTCGCTAGTGGGGGAGCCAATGCTTAGCATGCACAAGGCCCTGGTTGCAATGCATGCATCAAGAATTTTAAAGGGTGGGCTAGCGAGATAGCTCAGCAGTCTAAAGTGGCTGCTTAGGCAAGCTCAGTCAAAGCGCAGGGACCACGGTTCAATCCCTGGCACCACATGCTGCACCCGCCTCAGGGTGGGCTGAACCCACCACAAAAAAAGAAAATAAAGAATTTGAAAGGGGAAGGGGGTAAACATTATATGGTTCAATATATGAAAATGTATTTTTCTCTTATAAATTGAGTTCCTCAGATATTGGGTTACAGTGATACAAAGCTAGCTAAAATTAAATGATAAGTTTATGTCCATGTGCTCACTGTATTTTTAACTGTGGTAAACTATACACAAAATTTTGCTATGTTAACATTTTTTGTGGTTTTAGGATCAAAACCATGCTAACCATTTTTAAGTTGAAAACCCGGTGGTACACATTTTATTCATCATGTTATATGAATATAACCACATCATTATTTTTTAAAAATTCAAATCTTGAACAAGGACTCTGGAGACATTAAGTTATAACTTCCCGTCTCTCTTACCCCAAAATTTAATCAATGTTTTGAGTCTATAAATACGCCTTTCAAGGTGTGCCTTTTTCAGAGGTGGCTGGATCTAGAGTGTGTGATGCTGGAATTAAGGGTGAATAATTATTAAATCAATTCACTGATCAGTTTTGCAGTCTTAATCCCAGCAGCCTACATACAACACAAAAGCTCTCTTGCTTGCTTGCTTTTTCTGTCTTTTGCCACCATGAACTGTTTCTCCTCTGAGACACCCCTATGCCATGCAACCTTGCCTTAGACTCAGCTGATTATGGACTGAAACCTCTACAGACTGTGAGTTAAACAAACTTTTCCCCCTTTTACTTTGCATGCTGGGTATTTTATCTTAGCAATAAGAAAAGTAAGGAATACAACAATCAAGATTAACTCTCAGAGTGTCAAGTATAGGTTTGTAAAATATATTTTTGGATGACTTTCTGAGTGACTGAATTCCTTATTCAAGGAAAAAAAAATCTCAGCTGGGCATTGAGGTGCATGCCTGTAATCCCAACACTCAGAAGGCTGAGGCAAGGGGTTTACCATGAGCTCACAGCCAGGTTGTACTACATAGTGAATTCAAGGCCAGCCTAGACACACAGTGAGACCAGTCTTAAAAAATAAAGGGGGGTGGGGCAAGTCCAAGGCTGTCACATAACCTGTGTGAATTACATTGGTATTCAACTCACAGAAGCTGTGCTCCTCTGCCCCATATAATTCTCCCAGCAACAATTCAAGGTCCCCAAAAACACAGAAAATCTGCTGTCCTGCAAAGTGTCCTTCAGAGTCCCTTGTGGGTGCAGACTACCACGTAGTCTTAAGTAGAGAACAGAGGAGCAGAAAAAATGCAGGAAGTGGAAGGAAATTAGGAGAGAATTCTCAGCGAGCATCGTCTATACCCAGTAGTTTATTCTCAAGCCCTGCTTTAAGCCTCGGCCATACCTTCTGTGTTGTGAAGATCTTTGAATCAGTTAATTTCTCCTATCTGATTTTTAAGCCTTTTGATGGCATTTCTATAACCTTCCCCTCATTAGACTCTGTGCATCGGTTCCAGAATTCCCCCACCCCACAAGGGATATACCAAGCTCCTAGAATGCTCCAGTCCCTTCCACAACATGGTGCGGCACCTGCATACAGTCTACGCACATCTTCCCATTTTCGGTGCACAGTCTCCGAGTTGCCAAAGCTGACATAAACTTGCAGTTCTCCTGCCTCTGCCTCCCAGTAGCTGAAATGGCAAGGCACATAGCGCCACCTCCAGCTCTCCTGGACTTTAAACCCTCTCTCGTTTATGCATGACACTGAATGTAAATGCTATGTATATGAATGTAAATGCAATGTAAATAGTTGTTGTGCTGTATCCTTTGAGGAATAACGACCCTCAAAATCTATACATATGGAGTACAGCTGCAACTTTTTTACCAGTGGTTCTTGATCCACACTTGGGTGAATCAGCAGATGCAGACCTAGTGAGCAGATTATGAGGCCCTTCCAGGAAGAGCCCTTCCCTTTCCCTTCCCTTTTATCCTGTCACTCCCTGTCACTCCCACACATCCTTGGTGGCCATAGACGAGCTGCTGTGTTTACTGCTTTCCCAAGCTACATCAGGTCTCTTATCAGAGTGGCACTGCCATATAGTTTTCTTTACAAACAACTTATATCTATTTTATGCACCGTGATCTCAGCTATTATGAGCCTTTTCCCTCCCCACCCTTGGCCATCCACACAACATGACTGTAAAACCCCAAATAGAAGCATGAACTGACAAATCACAATGACAGAAGTAAATGCTAGCCAAGGGAAAGACCATTTGAAGGAAGGCCTTCCAAGAACAGCCGGGACAGAGCTTCATCCACCATACAAAAAAGATTGACCCAGCTTCATGGTCCTCGTGGAGCTAGTCATCATCATTTTTGTACAAGAATCCTTCACTAAAACGAGCTCTCAGAAGCAGAATGGCTTTCCTCAGTGCGCAGCATTAAGCAGGGAGGCAGCCGCTGCAAGGCCACTTTCCACGGATTACCTCATTTAATTTTACATCAGCCCACTGAGCGCCTTCTCAGCCAGGCTCTTGCTTATCTGAAGCCTCTCACCAGTCTCTGTCCAGCACTGTTTCCCAGTAACGCACAATACCTTCAGCTCTGAGCCCACCAGGCATCTTGTACCTCCATGACAGGTATTTCCAGGTGTTACTGCAGAAGTCTCCTGAAAGCTTTCTGTGGCTCCTTCATACTTTCAAGACTGTGCTGCCTGGGCTGGGGCTGGAGCTCGGTGACAGGGCACTTGCTTAGCATGCCTGAGGCCCTGGTTCAATGCCTAGTACCCAAAGGGGGGGGGGGTGGCACTGGGCTATCTAATCTTCAAGGCCTCATTGGGATCATTATTATCTCCCAAGTGGCACGAACTATACTCTTAAAATAAGCATGTGTTAACTCACCTCTTTTTCCACCAGGCTGAATCAGGGCCATATATACACCGAGGACTGCATTCACCACCCAGCACATGATAAGCACTGTAGGAATCTATATGATGGCTACGACAGCTAATATTTTTCTACATTTTCAAATATGAGGAAGCTGGAGCTATAGAGTTTTAGGAACTGTGTCAATAGACATGGAGCTTAAAAGCACAGCACCTGGATTTGAGCCCAACTCCTAGATCAGTATTCTACACTATAAATAAATCCCTTTATGTGAGAATTTGAGTTAAAAGAGGACTATATATAAGCTCCAACAGGCTCACTATTTCTCCTTTTATTTTATCATAATGTTCCATCTGAACTTGTCCTCTAGAAATCCTTACAGTTAGATGTATAAACATGACTCAAAGGTGGGGGGCTATTTTTTGTGAGGTTAGAAATAGAGAAGTTGAAGAAAAGGATGCTATCTTTTCCCAATAAATTTTTCTTCCTTCCACTTTATATATTTTAGAGTCATACTGTCAAATTACAAGGCCCTAAAGCTTAGCTGGAAACCTTCCCCTTTTGCTAATATTGCAATACAGCAAACTTAGTGATCTGGTTGAGCTATCTGCTTATTTTGTGCCTGGAGCTCGTGAGAGCCCCTAGCGTACCTATAAAAACCACACTCATATTTCCAGGCAAGGATATTTTCAAAAAGACCAGAAGAACTCTCAGGCTTTTAGAATCCTCAGTGGTCCCTGCTGGAAAGCAACTGTGCGTCAACAGAAGGAGCCCAAAGCAATGTGGGCCTTGCCCACCTGTTAGCTATCTGTGCCTGTGTAACCAGCTCCTCCAAAAGCAAAAGCTGAGCCCACTATGTGGGTCAGGAACTCAAAAATCACTGCACTGAATGGTTCTGAATCAGGGTGTCTTTTGAGGCTAATGTTGACTGAGACTGTAGTTATCTGAAAACAACTGGATTTGAGCCCCTACAGTGCAAAAGAAAAACGGAAAAGGGAAAAAGAAAACTCCACAGAGCGTGGAATACCACTTGCTAGATGGTTCACCCTAGGCTGTGCTCAGGAGGTCTTGGTTCCTGCTAGCTTTGGGCAGGAGGCCTCTGCTCCTTTCTAGTTAGGCATCTCCACAGGGCTGCATGAGGAGCATCCAATATGGCAGCCAGCTTCCATAAAGTGAGGTATCCAAGAGAGACGAAAAGGGAAGCCACAACTCTTTCATGACCTAGTCTCAGAAATCACACATTGTCACTTCTACCAAGTTCTTTTAAATAAAAATCAGGAAGTACAGGGCGAGGGAGATGGCCCAGTAGAATAAGTGCTTACCTGGCAAGCGCAAGGGCCTGAGTTCAATCCCTGATTCTGCAAAAAAAAGAAAAAAATCAGGAAGTACAATCCACATTCAAGGAAAAGATTATTTTTACCTTTTAAAGAGAGAAACAGCAAAGAATTTGCAGGTATGTCTGAAAAGAAAAAACTAATTCGCAAAAATCAACCCTTCCTTTTGGCAGATACCCTCTCTCAAGCAAGCACCTCAGACTGTCAAAGTCGTGAGAGGTTCCCAAACCTCAGCAATTCATTATTTTCTTGCCCTTAACACCTGCCTGAGTGTGGCATGAGTCCTTCATAAGTCAGAGTCATTCACTGTTGGGTAAAATATTACTAGGCATCATCCTATCTTAAAAGTCAAGAAGGGCCTAAGGAGAGTCACATGGGGAGAAGACACTCTCTCAGGCTTTCACAGAGAGCACATTGGCCAAGCAATGGCCATGACTCATCCATATGGCTGCACTGATAAACATTCTACAATCTGAGGTACAGCATCTCAGGACAAATCCTGAGGGCATTTCACTGACCTTCTCAGACCAAAAAGCTACAACTCTTGTTGCATAGGTCCTGCTTTACCTTGGTCTTAACCATCCAGTAGAAAAGTATGAAGTCGAAATATAAGAAATAAAGCCATGCTGTTAAGTTGAGCTGTGGGGGACTCAGATCAATAATTTCTGACATTGCCAGTTAAACAGAAGACCCAATACTATTATGGGCTACTGGACTCTTTTAGAATATTTTGCTGAGTTTACACACCTATAATATTCAATAACGGAACTTAGAAAAAATGGGGTATACTGATGAATGTCCATTTTGTATCTGTGTATTCAAAGAGGTTGGGATAGATATATAGTTGCATTCTCTTAATGAATAGAATGATTTGTTCTAATGGTGTTTGTAAATAGGATCACAAGTTCGCATCTTGTACAGCAATTAACCACTAAGAAGAATATATGCAGTGTATTATTTGTTGAAACTGTACTTCCGATTTGATTTGAAACTGTCTCATTGCTATCTGTTTATCAATAAAACTTTGGAAAAAAAATAAATAAAAATAAAATAAAAGCAAAAAAAAAAAAGAAAAGAAATACAGAGTTCAACAACAGTGTTCTACATGCCGAAGTGTCTGTAGCTCAGGGACAGAGCTCTGGGAGTCAATGCTCAGCACTGAAGAAATAAATAAATAAAGACAGTGGCTTTTCACCCTGGTCACTTACAGTTAAAAATAAATAAACAAATAACTAGATATCACAGTGCAACCTAAATACTGGTAGAGAATTATGTTTCAGGGCCTAAAAGGATGTATTAAAGAGGTAATATGTTATCCTAGAGAGTGAGAAAGGGAGAGAAATATTTGTCAGGTGAGATAACACAGAGGTAAGTTTCATAATTTGAATAAACTTAGCCAAATTAAAAAGGACAGAAACAGGAGAAGCTATCCTAGGCCCTTATAAAAGCATGAAGGAGAACGAAGACTGAATACTGTGGCACTTGCACATTGTTTCCGAAGGCTGCTGCACAACAGAATTCAGGTTAAGAAAGCCAGAAATGAGGCTGGCATGCAAATAGTTTGGATTTTCTCAAAAGCCAGTGGTGAACCATCAAGCTACAGTATTTCAAGTGGTGGAGATAAAAACAAACTCACACTGAACAATCTCCTCAGCAGTGTGGAAAATACATTTGGGGTAAATGAAAAATAGGGAATGGGATACCCACCTAGAAGCTGTTAGAGTAAGTCAAATAAGAAATAATGGGCTCAGTTGGGAGATAGCTCCACCGTCTAAGTGTCTGTCTGACAAACACAAGGCCCCGAGTTTGATCCCCAGTACCGCATGCCATGCCAGCCCTAGAACATGGAAGCGCCATCCTGGCCACCGAAACTGGGAATGTTGGTGCACACCTGTAATCCCAGCACTGGAGAGGCTGGGACAGGAGGATCACTACCAATCTGAGCTGTGTAGCAAGACCCTGTACCAAATAAACAAAAAAAGATTTTTGAAGAGAAAAAATATTCAGAAACATTCAGTGTACTATGTGTTTCGATCATCCCTTGTTGATCAAACACTGCAATTTCTGTCAAATAAAAACTTTACTATCAGTCTTCACTTACACACTCACCAGATCTGGCACTGGAAAACTTCTGGCTCCTCTCCAAGGTCTAAAGGACCTGAAAAGAGAAAGAGTTTGATCAGTTCAGGACATCGCGAAAGCCACCATGGTGCCACCAAAGAAGTCTTCATGAAGGAAGACTTCTAGAGCTGCTTTACAAGGAAGCGAGCATAGTAGAACAGCTTGCTTGGGGGTGGTATTTTCAGGGGAATAAATACGATGCATCATACTAGAATCAATTTTTATTATTTATTTATTTATTTATTTATTTATTTATTTATTTATTTATTGGTGGAACCAGGGATTGAACTCAGGCCCCTGCACTTGCCAGGCAAGCACTTATTCTACTGAGCCATCTCCCTGGCCACAGTTTTTAAATTTAAACTTTCACATTTTTATCTAATTTGGTGACTTATTAAATAAGATTGGCAGGAAGGCATCAATAAAGGAAGGAACCAAGAGAGCTGGAGAAGTTGAGAGTTCCGATCAAGCCACTGAACAAAAGGTGACTGGCTCCTAATGAGAATAGAAGCAGAGAGCTAAGGAAGGGGCAGGAAAAGGATCTGCCTGGCTTGGAGCATGCCACGTTTGCGGGCTCAAAAGATGAATGCTAATACAAAATCCCCTCCTTAGTTTGAGCTCACTGGACAGAGATTAATTTCAGTTAA